CCCCCCTTCAGTTGCATTCAGTTACGATTCTATTCTACAAAAACTTTTCTTTTAAAATAAAACTTGTGTCCCAGATAATTTCTTTCCCCTTCAGTTTTTAGCCCCTTTGATCATCGGTGGCTTTAGAGTTCCTCACAAGAGAAGAGGGTACAGCAGCCAGATGGGGCTGAAAGATGCTCGGAGCACTCAGTTACTGATGGTTAAGATTTTATTGTTTTATTACAGTAGTCATGTATGGCTGTGAGAGTTGGACCTTAAGGAAGGCCGAGCGCCAAATAATAGATTCTTTTGAATTACGGTGCTGAAAAAGACTCTTGAGAGTCCCTTGGACTGCAAGGAGATTGAATCAGTCAGTCCTAAAAGCAGGGCTATTTTTGGGCAGGACCGCACAGGAACGGAGTTCCGGCTGGCTCCCAAGTTGGCCACGCCCAGCAGGAACTCATTAGCATAATAGGCCACACCCAACAGCAGAAACTCATTAGGACTGGCTACAATTAGGGGTGTGTGGCCTAACATGCAAAGGAGTTCCTGCTCCAAAAAAAGCCCAGGGTTTTGACAACAAACAAAGTAAACCGAATAAGAAGCAAAAGGTGGGTGTGGTAACATGGGGGGTATGGCCTAATAGGCTAATGAGCTGTGCTGTCAGGGGTATGGCCTATTATGCTAATGAGTTCCTGCTGGGCTTTTTCTACAAAAAAAAAAAAGCCCTGCCTAAAAGAAATCAACCCTGACTGTCCCCTGGAAGGCCAGATAATGAAACTGAAGCTCAAATACTTTGGCCAGCAAATGAGAAGGGAGCACTCACTGGAGAAGACCCTGATGCTGGGAAAGATTGAAGGTCAAAGAAGACGGGGACGGCAAAGGATGAGATGGTTAGACAGTGTCATCGATGCAACGAACATGAAATTAAGCAAACTCTGGAGCACGACGGAAGACAAGAGGGCCTGGCGTGATGTGGTCCATGGGGTCGTGAAGAGTCGGACTCGACTGTGCGACTGAACAACAACAAGATTTTATTTGGAGTTGATTTTGGCTGCGTTCTGTGGAACTTGTTTCTGAAAAATATGCATGGAATGGGGAAGGTCAAGAAATGGAAGAGCAGCAGTGCTGGATCTGACCGATGATGAAAACACACACTTAGCTGCCTTATACTGAGCCAGACCCTTGGTCCATCACAGTCAGTATGGTCTACTCAGACCGGTAGAGGCTCTCCAGGGTCTCAGGCAGAGGCCTTTCCTACAGCCTGGTCGTTGTAACTGGAGACGCCAGGGATCAAACCGGAGACCTTCTGCATGCCAAGCAGATGCTCAGTCTCTGAGCCACAGCCCCTCTTCCTGTGAAAACGACAGAATGCAGAAAACAACAGCACAGCTCCTTGCAACCTAAAACAGCTAAACTTCCCTCGAAAGATGAGACGGCAAGCATTTCTTGCCTTGGCTTGGCAGATGCATCAGGTTTCCATGGCAGGCACCTGAGCTTGGCAAAAACGTGAGAATGACACAAGGTGACCGTGGCTTTGTGCCCCACATTGCAAGAGGTTCTTCAGGAGTAAGGTCCAATCAGAAGGCGGGGCATTTTTTTTCAAACTCCTAGATGAAGGAGGATTTGACCAATGTCCTATTCCTTGGGATCCCAGAGTGCTTTGCATATTCAGCCCCTTTTGGTGCAAAGGGACATATGTGGGGTGCAGAGGGGAACTAATGGGTGTCAGTGTCAACTCAGCCCGCTTTCATGGGCTTGGTAGCCATGGGGACGTAGGGGGGGTGAGAAGAATGTATACTTTCGTTTCTGGCCGCTTTGCTGTTGCTTGTAGTTATTTTCCTCGGCTCAGACATATAACCTTGAGCCCCAGTCAAGACTGGTATCATCTTTCCCCTGGGAATTATGGGCCATTATTTCGGCGGGCCTCTAGCTTAGGTGTGATTGGCCCTGGGCCATTAGGTTCCTGCTTGATTTGGGTATAATTGCTGGCTTTGCACGTTTCCCCCCAGTTCTAACACAGAATTGTTAAGAGTCTGGATCTTATCAATGTCTCAATAAACTTTCTATTCTTCTGAATGACTGTTGTTGGGAACTGATTTCTCCAGGAGTCTGACAGTCAGGCTAGAGGAAATTATGTATAATAAATGAATAAAAGCAGCATTAATTACAGTTTTCTATTTTGTAGTTATTGTCTTCAGGTGCAATGGTCAATTTTAGTGCAACAGAAATTGAACACGTACGTGAAACTGCCTTATACTGAATCACACAATAACTCCATCAAGGTCAGTATTGTTTACTCAGAGTTCCAGCAGCTCTCCAGAGCCTCAGATAGTGGTCTTGCACATCACCTGCTAGCTGATTTTTTTTTTAGCTGGAGATCCCAGGGATTGAACCGGGGACCTTCCGCATGCCACGCAGGTGCTCCTTCACTGAGCCACAGGCCCTCCCCAGATTGTTTCCTTTTCTATTTGTGTGACATTTTATCAGATATATTTTTTAAAATTTGATAGCCGTGAAGTTATGAGATGAGCACTTCTTTGGGGTCGGCAGTGGAAGGGTTTTGCTTTTATGCTCGGAGCTGAACAGAACGGCATCTTCAACCCAACATGAGAGCCTCACAGACGATACCAAAGGGAGCAGGTTAGCCTCCCATGTAATGAGCTGAACATCTGGCTCGCTTGTGCCATTCGGTCTGTTTTATTAAACTGGCATCTGCCATCCGGCGCAACTGGATCCATAGCAAATCAATGGAAGTGATTCCCCAAGTAGATTTGTTCAAGACATGAGATGCCCGACCTGAACGAAGCTGTACGTTCAGATATTAAATTTTTTTAAAACAAACAAGGTAGAACAGGGGGGGAAGGGGATTGACCAGGTTCCAAATATGTCCATGACGGATTTCCTTCAGGGCTGTCTTTGGCATCATTCCCAAAAGGAAGAGAGGCTGAAAATGTTATGCGGGAACTGAAATCTGCATGAATTTCTCCAAACGGATCCACGAGAGGCTGCTGGACTACAGCCAGCTCCAAATCATGTCAATTTTCGATCCCGACACACAGGGTCAGTTCCAGGTTTTGGGGGGCCCTGGGCAGGGAGAGTGCCCGGAGGCATCCATGCCTCCTTTGCCCACCACCAGTTCCCCCCCTGGTATCTTCCTTCCTGCCCACCACCCGCTTAGGTGTCCTTCCTCTGTCTGCAAGTCCTCCCACTGCGGTTGCCAGATCCAACTCAGGAAATATCTGGAGACTCTGGGGGTGGAGCCAGGAGACTTCGGGGGTGAAGCCGGGAGCAAGTACGTGACATCACTTTTGTGATGCCACTAGGGTTGCCCGGTGAGCCTGAGAAGCCGGAAGGGAGTTCTGGCTGTCACATATAAGCACTCCTTTTAAAAGCACTCCTTTTAAAAGCATTCCCTCCATTGGAGGGAAATCAACATTTGAACGCATGGCATGTAGACGGCAACTGCATATAGAGCTCCAAGAGGAACTCCACAAAGTGGGTGAGTGGGCGACCATGTGGCTAATGAAGATCAGCGTCGCTAAGTGTGAGGTGATGCACGCTGGGACAAAAAAATCCCAACTTCGAGTATAGGCTAATGGGGTCTGAACTTGCTGAGACTGAGAGGGGAAAAGATCTGAATCCCAGAGCCAGGAGGCAACATCTAGTCCGGCCTCTCTGCCCTGTTATTGGCTCTCCAGAGGAACTGGTTGGCCCCTGTGTGAGACAGGATGCCGGACTAGATGGACCACAGGTCTGATCCAGCAGGGCTCTTCTGATGTTCTAACGAAGGCCTCGGCCTCTCTGCCCTGTTGTTGGCCCTCTAGAGGAACTGGTTGGCCACTGTGTGAGACAGGATGCCGGACTAGATGGACCACTGGTCTGATCCAGTAGGGCTGTTCTTATGTTCTTATGAAGGCCTTGGCCCTATGCCCTGTTGTTGGCCCTTCAGAGGAACTGGTTTGCCACTGTGTGAGACAGGATGCTGGACTAGATGGGTCACTGGTTTGACCAGCAGGGCTCTTCTTAAGTTCTTATCAGTGGAAGGCCTCGGCCTCTCTGCCCTGTTGTTGGCCCTCCAGAGGAACTGGTTGGCCACTGTGTGAGACAGGATGCTGGACTAGATGAATCATTGGTCTGATCCAGCAGAGCTCTTCTTATGACTTATTTTTACATATTTGGAAATCGTTTCTAGAAACCTATGTGTAGATTTGCCACCACTGTTGTTATATTTTTGTCTTGTCTTTATGTATCTCCCCCCCCCTTTTTTAAAAACCCCCCTTATTTAATTGCTGGGTTTTAAGGCTTTTTCTCTGTTTGGGGGCGGGAGAAAG